TAATTACATATAATATTTATTTTAATAACTATTACCCTTTACTGGTTACGATATGAACAAATATTAATATAAACTAATAATTAGTAATACGTAATTATACCAACAATAAATATACCACGCCAAGCACTGCTCTCCACGGCACTGACAAACCCAAGTGAACCGCGTTTGACACCAAACTAATTATAGAATACCATACAAAAAATTATTTATGACCTAGTGGACCAATACAGGTTTACTTTGACGACCAGCGTGTCGCCGTCGATTCTACATCAGGCGGACTGGTATACCAATATCGGACTCGCCCAATGACTATTCGAGTATACCTAAATTACGAGACACCTCATGGCTAAAGCATAGGAAGAAATTTCAAGAGAAGTGCAGACGGTCCTGTGCTTTAAGATTCACAGGTTTAAATTGATATCGTAACAATTATAATCAAATATTAAACTATTGCAACATAAAATAACGCTGACAAATATGCTACTTTAGAACTTGGAACATGAAATAATCTGATTTCAAATTTTTTAAATTAGTAATTACGCTATAACTTGAAAACAAACGTAAATCGCATAACAGCATTTGAGTTTGTTCTTATTATTTTGACGGGTGGAAACGATTCTTGGAGTTTGGTGAGATCCTCTCGACTCACATCTGTCAACCATGAAAAGGGATTCAATAAAACAGTTGTTAACAAATAACCTTAATTTATGGTTTTATTAAGCAGAATGTGTTTCGGCTACTATTTTATAGACATCTACGACTACTTTCAAGTGAAAATATAAATAATGACCTGTATTCTGCAACTAAAGTAGAAGAAAACGATAAAACACAATATCACGTAACGCTTCCATATTTAGAATAAGTCGAAGTGTTACAGAGCCCACACACATCAAACCCCAATAAATCAACCGTTTCCAGCCTGGGTGTGCCGGTAACTTATAAACGAGGATATTATATGCACCTATTACTTTAAACGCGTTTATAATTTTACTTTCATGGTACCCAGCTGGTAAGATATTCACTCTGTAAACTGGCATTGGAGAATCGTCGATACGGAACCACTGTGAAGCAATTTGGCCTTGCAGTCATCATGGCAGTCCAAAAAACGGCGGAAGTGGACGTTATTAGTTTGATATACTATTACAGTTAGGTGTCACATCCTCCCGAATTCATTAATATTTACGTTGGGCAATTGTCAACGGTCCCGACGTGCCTGGAACGCAGCATATGGTGCAATGCTGCTGTTTTGTTATCCCGATCTTTGTTATCATAATAAACTTTGGGAAACTGTTCTGGGGAGAGAGTTTTTAGTTCTGTAGGTCTCGTTTTAATGCGTGTCTACATCCCGTAGGACGAGATGAATTAAAGCAAACATATCATTAGAGGCATTCGTAAATAAATGATAGTTTTAAACAGATCTCTTTTTGGTTGACTTAGGGCAAGACTTTAATGATACGTACAAATAAATAAATACCACAGAGAGAACTGTACTATTTCATTGATATTGAATTGAAATTTAAAAAGTTGGAAGATACTTTGTGACATCAATAAGTGATATCTAGTAAGGACGTCACGAATCCTGATAAGTTTTCAGTACGATTTATTCTTAATAAAAAGAGAAACATGTAAGGCATATTTACCTTAAAGCGACTATTCGATATTATTGTCTGTTGTTGGCACTGTCAACTTAGTGGTATAATAAGGCAAAAATAATTTAATTATCCCTTATTCTAATTTTATTCTGAGGAATTCCAGTGAAACATTATAATTAAAGAAACTTATTTACTGACTTTATTTTTAAGAATTTCATGTTTATATAACGTTATATAGAATGGAAAGTCCCCATTTAAAATATTAAAGAACATACATTTAGTACACTTATATTTAGTTGTTTGAGCCTCACCTTTTGTTTTTTATTTCATTTAGTTCGAAAATGTAAGGCAACATGTGGCGAGTATTGCAACAAAGATAACACCTAAAAAGGTTTTTATGTGGGAAGCTAATTGAATATAAATGGCTGATCTTTGTCTTTGGAATATCTATTAAATGTTGTATTCTACATAATGGTAATGTTCAGTACTCAGAAGATTTGAGCAATACTAGCTTTTATGACTCAATTTTATGATAAAACAACTTCAGTTCGAGTACAAAGCTATTTGATAGACAATTGCATTTTATATTCATGAACATTTTTATTAATGATTCGATATGAGAATTTTTCGTGTTATAATTGATTTTTGATTCAGAACAACACACTTTTATGGTCTAAAGATGGGAAAAACTGGTACACATTAATTTTTCGTTTAAAGGAACATTTAGATTAATTTTAATTTTTGACCCTCCCATCTCGTGTATATGAAAACGAAAGAAATCAGAAAAGTTGACTTCGAGTTGAAGAATTGAAAGTTTTGCTCCAAAACAGTTTTTTATGACCTATATTTTTACAGGATATTGGTCAAATTGGATTATTAATATAATTATTGTTCAGTTAATAGTAGGACACATCATTCAGGCTTGTCTTTAAGTATGTTCTGATAATAGAGGGGGTGATTCTTTATACCATTTTAAGACAAAAAATATATACGAACTGATATCTTGATCTACTTGTTTTTTTAATTACAGGGTGTTAAAGTTTTTGTAAAATATTACATAAAAATATCTCTAAAGATGATGTGAGATACTTACAAAATACATCAGTTCTTAATTGTCAATGTTACTCAAAATGCCTACTGGCACAAAGCATTGATTTGAACCTACTGACAGAGAGTGATCTGCTAATTTATAGGTAGGTCAATGATGGCTGGTGATCATCGATAATGATCGAGAATGATAGATGATGAACTATGAAACCATTACTAATTTTGCATTAGGCAAAATAAACTTTAATTAATGATATTGTGGGAAACAGTTCATCCAGCATTGAATTACACCAACTATATCTAGCAAATAGGAAACACCATTCATTATATCTTACACTCAAAACATTCAAACAGCTAAATGAGAACTAATACATATATGTTCGAAATTGGTCCATGTTTGGTGATTTTACTGACTTAGATTATTTACTAGATTTTGGTTATTTGTCAACCAGTGGTGTAGATATTAGGAGATATCGTTACTGAATATTTATGAATTTCAATTTGATCGTTTGATTTCTAATTCTATTTCATTTTATTTGGAAACATGTAATTTTCGACTCACTTCTATTTTTTAGCCTAAAATAAGTTTATTCAATAGATTGGAAATACCTGTAAAAGTGCTCATTTCGCAAAAAAGTATAGCTAGTTCTTGATGCAAATACAATTTTACATGTATAGTATTTCCGAAGTCTGTTGAACATGCAACATATTTTAATTATTTATGTCCTCAAACAATTTTATTATATTGGTGGTAAATTTCGTTTTGTTCCGTTTCAAAAGGTCTCCAAAATGCCATGCTGTGATTAGTAAACAAAATATCCCTCTTATTTCTCCCTTTCGCAATTGTAATATGAATGATTGATAGAAGGTGCCTATAATAAATTAAAATTACCTGAATCACACCAAATTCTGCATTGCTGCACTGCACTGCTGGGCAATTTATCAACCACTTGTCATCTGTGGTAATTTATTGCCCAATAGCCCAATACAACTGTAATCGTTTTCCTTTGCCCGCGCTCGCATTCTTCAACTGAGCGTATACATTTCTATCGCCTCCACGTTTAGTTCGACCAGACCTGTATATGGGTATGGCTAAATAAATATGGGAACAGGTTTTTCAGATATTTCAATGCCGAGTTGCTGCGTCAGCGACCGAACCTGGTACATACTATCAATCCGTTGGTTCTTCAATTGATATCGGAAAAACTATGATATAAATGTAGTTCAAGTGTAACAATTAAAAAATTAAAACAAATCATTGATGCAGAAATTTTTTGTTTTCTGAGAGGTGGTAAGGATATAATTTTTACTTCAATACACAACTTTAAAATGACCAATTTTTCAGAAAAAAAATCAAAATATTCCGTGGCATCCAAATTCTGAAGTGACGATATCTGCTAGTGATTTTTTATCATTACTTAATTAAAACCTCAATTAAGACATGAATACTTTAAAAAAATTCAACACAATGTGCTAGAAGAAGCTACAATATATAGCATTTTCGTAGAAAATGTATCAACTCTTGAGATTTTATTAGTATCTATTTCGTACATTTATGTGCACCCTATAGTAGAATAGAAAGAGAATATATTTATCAAAATTGTAGTCAAATACAACACTGTTTTTTTTTTCGTACAGTTTAAATCATTTTTTACGCCGTTGTAAAAGACCATGATAAAAATTGCAGACGGTCTTAAACAATTGTTTGTTGAATATTATTAGTCTATGAGAATATGGTCTATAATTTGAAAGTCTTAAATAAACGGGTTAAACTGACGTAAAAATATTGTAACACTCATTTTTTTAAGTAAAATTGATTTACCATTTTTTTTTACTACTTTTTTAAATCCTCTACCGGATCATGATCTTTCTGTGCTGTTTTTTGATTTGGTTTCTTAAGAAACCTTTTGTTTGAGTGCCAAATCTACATAATCAAATTCCTTCAAATGTTTTTTTGGGAGCCTTTTTAAGGCTTTTGGCTTTTTAATATTTTAAAAGAGAATCAGGTGAATCAGTCTCTTAGCACACCCTTACTTTTACTTAAAAAAAGCTACAGAATCATCCCCTTTGTTATCAGAACGTACCTAGATCGTCTAGTAATAAACGATTTTGCACCGACTACAGTTTTATTGTCTACCTCAGCGTTATTGCCCTGTAGAGTATTAACAAAAAATGACGAGGGATACATATTTACTTCAGACGTGAGGAAACTATGAATACTGTGCAATAATAAAAGGGTATCTTCCACCCACCACCCTGTTTAGAATTTAGATCACATCTGGCTCACCACCGCACTGCACTGCCGTCGCAATCGCGACATTTCCATCGTCCCGCATAAAGAAAAAAAGAACTAAAACTCACTAAGTGTCCCACTGGGTATATATACATTTCCTGAAGGCGTCCTCACCAAGCAGGAGGGTTCGAAGTCCTGGGTGGGGTCTGCGGAGGGTGCTGAGGCCAGGCGTCCGTTTAACCGGCTCATGGTCGGGTTTCGGGGGGGCACATCAGGGGGTCGGGGCACTCCGTCCAACAGACAACCTGGAAAAGCGTAAGTGTCCACTGTTAGTTTTTCGTTGAGCACTGGTTCTAGTTTGGCGGGGAGTGAACGGTACGCGCGGATTGTTTTTGTCGCTGAATGTTTTCGAGCTTTGTAAAAGTCAGTATGCATACAAATAAGGACTTCAAGACTAGTGGCGTAATCAGCGAAATGTATTTTAAAGCACAACACATTATACTATTCGAGGTACACCATTATTCAACTATTGCTTAATAATTTGCAGCCATTCTGAACTAATTTCTGTTAGAGCGAAATAGGGAAGTACAAATCGCGATAACTCATTAACCTACTCTCAAAATGTTTACTTTAAGATGGCGATCATCTCATGTAACGTTAACATTTTTATACAGAGCTTTGACAAATGAATACAAGCCACGTGAGTAGTAATTTTGTTTGGAACACCAATTTTTTCCCTCGAGTTGGTAACATTTAAACTTTGGTAAAATTAAGAACAATAAGATCAAGATTACGTTATATCGCAACAATCTGTTTGACCGGCTGGTGACTGATGTTATTTTTTACATTTTATTCAACCAGTCGTTCGCATTATCTCTGTTTCTCATTGTTCATTGTACACGAATCATTACGACTGATTACGCTAAGATTTAGGAATTTTTGTTGAAATGTTGGTTGCCTATGCTCGGCAGTCCCGTTCCTTTTAATAATTTATGAAGATTTTGTATTTGTTCGCATCTGCTTGTCCAAATTTTCGTCGGCTGTCATAAGGTTATTGTATATCCACCGACAAACATGTCACGAGCAGTTATACACAGTTAGTTGCTCGCGACCAGCTCGCGTACACTTCGCAAATGGGTCGCGAGCAATTACAAGTTGCTCAACAAAAATGGATTTTTACGTTTAGTGTTGTTAGTCTAGAAGTTCAGTCAATGGTTCGCGTTTATCGATGAATGGATATGTCATCACGCGGATTAAATTATCACAGGCGCCGATCATATTGTTCAAAACATAATCCACGTAATTGGTAAAGATTTTTCAAAGAAAACTAAAATGTGCATGCTCATTTAGAAGCTTTTGTTTTAAATTAACTATAAATTCTGAACAACCTAACTCTCTTGCTAACTTTATTTACGTGTCATTTTTTTTGTTCTATTCCTATAGATACTTAGTTAATTTAACATTCCACGGAACTTCATTTTGTCTATATTTTCCTTTAACTTTTATATCTGTTGTGCTATAAATGCGACAAAATTAACGTGAACATAACTGTCTACACCAAACTGAGGTTCGGCGAAAATATATTTTGAAATTACCGAGAGTCGACGAGAATTTTGGCGAATTCAACGCGAACAAAAACAAATGACGTTAATGTTCACGAGTTACTCGCGATAATAATTTAAGTGATTTGTAAATAGACTATTAGTTGACTGAAAACTATTCGCGTGCCCATAAAAATTCGTTTCTGCAGACGTCAACAAGGAACTGCTGATTTCGAGCACGGATTGTAACTGCGTACGAACTGTTCGTCGATCGATAGGCAGCTTAACTTTGCACTATTTCTGGAAAAAAATATCTGGGATCTTTAGTTGGAGGAATTTTGACAAAAAGAACATGTAGAACAAATAGAAACCCAAAAATAAAATTTATAAAATTTTGCTTTATATTTTCTTTGCTCTTGATTTTCATACCAGGGAGGGCGGAAATATTTACGTATAAAGTACCTATTAAAAACAAATCAAATATAATTGGGTAGTTTTATATTAACTACTATTGAAATAAAGGGAAAATATGCTCAACATTATTTTTTTAGTGAAAGTTCATTCTTCTGCTTTTGTACGAGATAAACTTTTCAATTACTTTTTCTCGAGCTTTTTCTCGCACCATTGATTTATCAATAGATAGCATTGCAAGTGCTTTTAGTTTGTCTTTACAATCTAATTTAAACTTTTACAATCTTTAAAAAAACGCAAGAAACAATACGTAGGTAACAAAATTTTATACCACACGTAAACAAATTACGTTTAATAAGAAAAGAAAGCAGTGATAGCTATTATTTGGTTACGGACGAACTAAATAGAGCCACATGGTAAATTGCCCTACTGCCACTTCGTCTTTCACTGCTGCGCGACGGTAACCACGACCACCGCTGTAAACACTTTACAGATTTAGGGGCGATTTACGAGGAGCCCACGTATTCAGTGTTTTTCAAATGAATTTTGCAAGTCGAGTTAAATTGACTGTATATTAGAAATTAAATTTAGCATTTCCTTTCTAATGTGTTTCCTAAAAATTTCTAGGGGAGGTGGCGTCCCAGAGCCCCCCCCCCTCACTGCTCAAATAATATTATAAATACTGAATATTTGTATAATTATAAATATTAAATAAGTACCGTCCCAAATTACTCCTTATTTATAACACAATTCAAGTAATTCGAAAACCACTCAACTCTGATTTGCTATTAGTAGTTGAAACGAGGTTTTTCTTAAATTTTGATTAGTATTATTATATAATAGTTTTGCACCAATACAACCATCAGTATTTTGAAGTCATTTGGCAATATATGTTTATGTTATGTTGTAATCCCATTTCAGATCATTAAACCTAAAATAATGATTGGTAAAGACGTATATTTCACTGATTTTCAAATACAAGTAACTTAACTGTTGAAGTATAAAGACATGTTCATCAACATATCAGTTCTGCGCAACTTAACAGTGTACTACATATTTCGATGTTGAAATAGTTTTCAACATATCTAAATCTAAAGTGATGTGGTTTTTCTTGATCTTAACATGCCTGGCAGGACGATATCTATTTGGTCTCTGCATTACATATTACGTCACCGCTTAAGAATAGATTTATTTTTATAGAAATTTAATACCAGTACTTTAAGTAAACATGTAGGAGTGACGAATCAATTACAATCAATTTTGTGTAGTGACGATATGAAAACCCAAGCTGTCTAGCTTGGGTAGTAAATAACACAACTTTATGAAGTGATTAACGTTAAAGCGTGCCTACATTAAAATTATGGAATACTTAGCCGGGTCCAGTCTGTAGTTCTATAAGCGTAGACAAAATAAAACATAAACAGTTGTAAAACACGTATATCTTCCAAAAGACACTGACCCATATCTTAATTTAGAAGGAGTGGAATAGAAATTAAACGGTTTGTTCACTTTACAGTAGACGGTGCACTGTCAACTATTGTAGGAATGTGAATTGGATAAATTTGATCTATTTTAAAAACATTATCTCAGCGTTTCCGGCGCTAGCAGAAGTTTTTAACGAAGTAGAAGAATCAGGGGAACTCATTCTTGTACAATGGCCTACACAGAATTTTATCATGTGCGGGGTTGAAACTGAACTAAAAAATTTAACGACAGAAAAAACAGATAATACCGAGTTAGAAATCTTTGATGGATAGCAAAACGTTAATCATTATTAAAACATACAGTGCGACTCAAATTACAAAAAAGTTGTACAATATTTTGCTGCAATTTTTCTTGAAATAAAAATAGTCACTTTTTAACTAGTTCTTGAAATGTAAACGACCTTTTTTAAAGTGCGCGATATAAGTGATGTATTTTCTATTTGTTTGCTTTTTTTTAGTTCAATTCAAGACCAGTAAATTTTACGAATACTTTACAAGAATACTTTATTGCAACAAATTGATTGTATATTTTCAAAACATTTAAAATTATTTAAAAAACCAGTCGCGTACGATTTTTTTTCAAAAAAGGTCCTCTACTCCTCAATAACTACGCCGCTGGAGTGTATTCTGGAATAAGTTATCCATGAAAAAATAGTCCCTACTAAAAAATGTCATCCCACAAATTTTATCACTAAATATTTTTTGTCAGTGAAGTTACAGAAAAAATCATATAAATATTTGAAACTTTTAACACCCTGTATCTCCGTAGAGAAGCGTCCTATCAAAAATTTTTATAGGGCAAAAGTTGATTATTTTCATCGGTAAAAAACGCCATTAAAGTTTGGCAAAACTTATCATTAACACCCTGTCTATAGGTAATATTAATTTACTAAACTATAAACAGCACTCCAAAATAGTTTTGATGAAAAAGTTTTTAGATGAACATAAACCTTTATTGATTTTTTTTATTTACAGCTTTAAAGAGTACGTCCCGACACCTTGATATTCCCAATTTTTCCAAGGAATTCCAATTTCTATTGATGTATCATCAAACTTACAGACTTTAACATTATTAATGTAACAGAGTTATGAACAGAAGTCAAATAAAGAAATTTTAAAATGAATTCAAAATATTTCTTAGATATAACCTATAAAGTGCTTCGAATGTTTCACGGAATGGTATTTTTCTTTATTTGTAACAAATTCTCATTAAAACTTTTTCCAAAAAAGTTCCACTTTAAAGGCGAATATTCAATAGCCTGAAATGAAAAATTTACACTTTTCCATTTGCATGTCGGAAACTGTCAACTTAATATCAGAAAAAATAAAATTATAAAGGAAAAGTTATAAAGAAAAAAAAATAAAGGAGTCATCTTTCTCGAATCCGCAACGTTGAAACAAAACTCAATACAATTTTTGACAAAGATGATTTACATACATAAAATTTATAAAATCAAAGAGATAAGCTTCTTTTTGTCAAAGGATCTCTAAAACTAGAACAACTAAAATCGTTCGCTATTGAGTTAAGTAACATAATGATCTAAAATTTTCTCCATTTAATCATTTCTCTATCTCTTATAGTTTCCGAGATTCCAGTACATGCATCACTATTTTTTTTATTCTGAAACAATTTTGAGGATTTTTTAAATACATTTGAACCTTTTTCAAATACATGTGACATATTCTAAAACACATAACTTAACTGATTTTATCAACTATAAATTAAAACTCAATGTTTCGAATACACCCCAATCGCAGGGAGCAAAATATCTATACTACTCAAGACACGAAGAGTATTGCTACTGAAAGGTATGGATAGATGCAGGACAACAATATACCCCCATATCTTACACTTCCCGTACAAAAATG